TTCTATCACAGCACAGTAATAAAGTGGTAATAGTAGATTAACAAGGAAGAAACACAATTTGATAATGTGGTATATTCTAAATTGTTACCATGCATTTATCAAAGTAGTAACCAAGTAATATCATGGTAACAGTGGTTACAGTTGATTTTATGTAATTGGATAATGAGGGCCCAAGAACTGGGGGTTATAATGTGGAAATACAGCTCGGTAATAAAGTGGTAATAGTAGGGTAACAAGGCCGAGACGATATTGTAATAATGTGGTAATTTCGAAGTTATTGCCACTCAATTAACTGTGGTAGTTTCTGTGTAATAAGCAGGAAACAGACCAGCAAAATGCAGAACTGCCCGTTTCTATTTAATAACATACTAATAACCTAGCAAACTGTAAATGTGTGTGATTATTACCTGGAAGCACAGGCATTCCTGATAAAGTAGCTGGTGAATGTAAATTCAGCACTGAACTAGTACCTATATGCATTTTTGTCTTATTTTTCCAGTAAAAATATCATCCAGAAGAACACTTCTGCAATGCTGTTGGCTGGAATACAGTAGAGGTAGTTTCTTTTTGGTTGTTTGTTTTTTTTCTCTTTCTTTTTAAGGAACATTTCCTTTCAATGATAAAGCCATTGATGGATAAAAATAAATGACTAAATCTTTTAATCAAACAAGCATTTTGCATTTACATTCTCATACTATCAATATTAAGATAATATATATATATACTTGCATTTGTTTTATGGTATTTAATAATAAGTAATGTTTTAATGATTTGCATTAAAAAATGGGAATAGCTGAGTGATTCAGACATTGGCTTTTGGGTTTTTTCTCAATGTTACCATAAAGTTGATTTCTGTCCTGATATATAATAGTAGTGCAGTACTATTATATAAATATGAAGACCATGGTCTTTCATATTTCACAAGAGCAGTGTAATGCAAATCCCTTCTGTGCTTGCATTTGAAACAATATATTCGGTAGCCTCGAGGGTGGCTACCGACTGCAGCGGTCTCCTAGGAGCTGGTACGCATCTTCCACCACTACTGCTTAATTAGTTGAGTGTGTGCCTGGAGACCAGTTCTGCACTTGACCTTTCTGAAGGTAAGGCAAGCAGCACATGTTCAACAGACCAGAGGAAATGAGGTGAGGGGAAAGGTTTTTACATTGGTTAGTGGTGTGTGCATGTACATATAGCAGTTGTGCGTGTGTGGCTCTGTTACTCCTCTTTCTCCCAAGAATGTGTAGTGCTCTTAATGGGAAGAATTTCATTAGTGCGGCACAAAAATTTGTCAGTCGCATCAACCATGGTGAAATTGCAGAGACATTTGAAACGTCCTCAGAAAATCCTAACATGCATCTGCAGTGGAAATAAATCAGTTTTGTACATCCTTTAATTTAGAGGAAAAGCTTGAAGTACTTGAAGATGCACAGTGATAGAACATATTCTAGGAAATACCTTGGGGAATGATGACATATTCAAACAGCGCATCGATGCAGGTAGAGGTTACCGCGTATGCCATTTTAGTATTTAATGAGATTTCATCTAGAGGGGTTTCTGGCTGCCAAGTTTCAAATCATCTAAAAGAAAGTCTGCTCTTCTCATTGTCCATCGAGAAAAGGAACATCCTCATTATCCTCCATGGCTTTGGCTCATTAAAGGGGACAAGGAGATGTATCCATATAAATACTGTCACACTATACCCCAAATGAAAAAAAAAAGACTTTTTGGGAGAAATTATACATTCCACCAAGAAACAAGGTGGAGATCAATTTCCACTGCATGTGGAAATGTCAAGAAATTGAATATAAAACAAGGCACACTAGAGAGAACAAGTCTACAAATATTCTAACATTGTTTAATCATTTTATTGTTATTTATTTATTTATTTATTTTTAGACAGGGTATATGAGCTAGAGAATATAAATAGCTGTTTTTCTTTAGATGTCTTACCTAAAATATAGTGGCACACACGCACACACGATTTTGTAAGTGTGTGAGAAGTTTCAAGGTTGAAATACAAGCTCAATAGACTTTTATAATGGCATTTTCAAAAGCACTCTGCAGCTTTAGAGTCCACAAGAGGTGACTGTAAAAGACATATTTGAATTCTGCTTCGTTATTTATTTTTATTTAATAAAAAGGAAAATAAATGGACTCCATGGTAATGGATTTCAGTGTGTGCGGCCAGACATTTCTGATGAGTAGCAGAGGTGTATTTTACCTGGGAGTCTTTCAAAGTTCATGACATTTACAAGAGCTTCTTTGGTATTTACTTTGAAGGTTAGAAAGGTTAGTCAGACAGCTTGTGAACCTTTGTTTCTTCATAATGAGGAGTTAATACAATATATACATCAATGAACTGTGTGCTTTGATCGCCGCAGCTACATCTGTGACATTGAAGGCGTAGGTTGTCTTAAAAAAAAAAAAGAAGCAACAACAACAAAAATATAAATGTGGAAAAGCTATGTGGCCCAGTGCAATATGTTGCATTTGGTTAAGGAAGCATGAATATTTCCAAAAAAGTTTATTATCTTTTAATAGAAGTCACACGGGGAAAAAAGTCATATTTAGGACTGATAACACATGAGAGTATTCATTGGGTATCATATGGTGGCAATGATGTGGGAGCTTTTCCTCAGCGCCATGTCATCAAGCTCTAAGCATTCTTGGGGAAAAGTTATAATTAACTGAGCAGAGATAAAGTTGAGCTTGTTGCTAAACTGGTGTGTCTGCTGATGGCTCACTAAGTAGCAGGCAGCTGAAGACAGCATTGGCAGGTTAATCAAAAATTAATGGGGAATATCACAAATGACAGTTTAAATACTGCCGTTGGCCGACGGACATGTACTGGTGGTGCACAGTCGGAATGCAAGTGAATATCTAATTTCCTTAATATGGAAGGTCACATTGTCACATTTGCACATTAGTCTAAGTGTGACTAGATAGAACTCCTGAATTTAAAGCCCTGTAGCAGGAGATTAAACAATGAAAGTGAAACACCTATAGAAGAATTTACTGCTTTTCATATGCTAAATATGCAAGAACTAGTTTGAAAATTAGTACAGCAAATTGGTTCAGCCAGGATGTTTTCCTTGGATATATATATATATATATA